GAAGCAAGTGAAAAGAGAAAACCAGTAAGTGAAATACAGGAGCAGAGATGTGAAAAAAATCTCATGGTCTTTAGTGAGTGGTGCTAGTTTGGATTTGTTTTGGAAAGGGAGTTGCCTTGTGCCTCTTCCTTGTGGTACTAATGAGACTATAGCATGGGGAGGAAGAAGAACAAGCAATGGACATGGAGGTAAGACGTAATGCGTTGCAAGTGTGTGTGTGGAGAAACTGAAGGATTTCATTGCGGGAAGGTATTCAGGTGGGTTGAGGTCGATAGGATTGTATCAAGGTTTTTGCTATGGCAAACAACACAATGTCTATGAATACCTACCAACTTACGTTTGGACATGGAAACAGGCTCCTGGTAAAAGCAAGTAAGATTGCTGAGATCTGGGACATTGAGTTGTTCCAGGGGAAAATTCAATCCACCCTAAAACAAGGTTAATATTTGCTAAGAGATTAGCAGAGTGCTGTTCAGAAGCAGGCTGTTGCCAACAAGTAATCAGAGTGATCTCTTGGTTACTACGGTATCTGCTGGGCATTACAGAACAGGAGAGATGGTTTGCAGAACAATGAAGCAAATTACAGAAGCTGTGGAGCTTTCTTGTGACAGAAGATATAGAAACTGGCAACTTCTGTAGGTTCATGCAACCTACTTTCCCACTCTGAGTAGTTTCATGCATGCAACATTGTCTAAGCTAGCTTTGTGTCGTGGTTTTCTTTCCAGAAGATTAATAAACTCCGGTTTGGAGAAGGAACTAACCACCTTCTTTCTCCAGGTGTGGGAAATTGGCAAGTTAGGTAAATGCCCAACTGTAGCTTAGGTAGGCTCGTGTTTGAAAAATATTCTCAGAAAACTCTGTAGTTTATTTCTTTTCTTCATCTGGAATAAAATTATGAGTAAGAAAATTGGTCCCCAGTTATAAACAAGGGGGGATTTCCCGATAGCTACTTGGATTTGGAGATATACAATGCAAAACCACTGAAGGAAAGAAAAAATATTGGTTCTTTCCTCCTTTGAAAATTGTGAGGACATAGTGACACCTAAGAAACTCTTGAGCATTTGAATCAGAAAACCCAAGTAAAATTTTCACTACTCCTTTAACTAAATCTCAAGTAAATTTTCACCCAGAATCATAGATTCTTCGGATTTTTGAATTTCACAGAAGAATAAATAGCTAGGAAAAGTAAAACACTCCTAGAAGATTGCCAAAACATTTTTTTTTCCCCACTGGAAGAGAGTGAAAGGAATTGTAAATACTTCACCTGAGCCTTAGATGTTATCTCAGCTTTTTCAGAAATTAAATTGCATTTTCTCTTTGGGATGGAGAGCAAACTGAATTGTGTCTAGGTTTTTCATGAAGAATGGGAGAGAGCTGTCACTGATGCTTGGATTTTGTTTGCTCATTAAGTAATGAATTAACCATGATCTCACTCTGTGTTTAATTTATAAGCTCTTGAGGCACGGGGGTCTTTATGGGTCAACTTTCGGGAGGGATGCTGGGCTTGACCAGTGAGTGAGGTTTTGATGCCCTGTGCCCCAATCTCCATTTTTGTGTGAATGCAGTTTTCCATTTACGTATGACTTGGTTCACAGAGCTTCCAGCACGCTCAACCAGCTTTTATCATGCCAAACTAGCTAGGTGCGCAGATTGGGAGGATGCATTTGGACACTCTCAACTAAACTACCCAAGTTTGGCTCCAATTGGTTTGTCATTCTGCTTTTGTTGTGTTTTTGTGTTTTGTTTTGTTTTGTTTTTGGTTTTGTTTTTGTTTTTGTTTTTGTTTTGTGGGATTTGTTGTTGTCATTTTTGCACTTACTAGCTCAGTTTCAAACTTCTGTGATTGCATGGCTTGAACTCAGGTTCTGATATTTGATATTTCTGCATTATTCTTTTCAGCCCTTCTCACAATAACTGCACTATTCAGGTTCTTCTGCTACCTAGGGCATCTCAGGTTCTCTGTGACTCAGGATAATGGAAAAGTTACATGTGCACTTGCAGAGTGCTTGTTCGTGTGTGTGTAGTTGTATAAACGTCACTGTTGAACCTGAGCTGCTGAGGAAGATCTATTTCTGGAGAGCGTGGAAGGGAGATTTCTGTTGTGTGCTGAACCACTGCCCAAGCTTCAGGGCACGAGACATGTTCACATTTAGTAGTGGAATCCCCCCCTCAGACCGGAACCCTGCAAGTATTACTTAATAAAATATGAAGTGCAGCCTGCAAAGGAGGGTGGACATTGCAGGAGAACAGAGCAGAAAGGTGAAACTCAACAGCAGCAGTCAGAAAGCATCTAAACAGAGGGGGAAGGGGTCAAGAGGCAAATTTCATAACTGAATGACTTTTGCTGAAAGATGGAAACATGACCCTGACCACAAAATAATTTTCTCTGAACAAAAAAGCATGAAAAAAATATGTGCTTTGACAGATGCTGCCACAAGTATCTGAAGAAAATTCCCCCTAAGCCCCACACCTCTTCTCTTGTCTGAAACTCTTTGGAAAAGGGAAAGAAATTAAGGAAGATCCTGAGACACTATATTTTTTGTAAATGTATCCATTTTTCCAAATTTCTTAAGAATACTTTTAGAAACATTTAATATCTAAATGCTTTGGGTTTACTCTTGAAAAGTAATGTTTCCATTTCTTAGAATGGTAGTGATTGTTAAGATAATTTCAAAATAATTTTATTCTGAAAGTTAAAAAACACAGCAATATAAAGAAACCATTCATTCTGAAAAACCTCTGGGGAAATTCCTCATGTTTCAAATGACCTTCCTGACCCTGTTCAAAAACATCTAAGAAAAATAAGAACCTCAAGTTTATCTGGAGCTATCAGCAAGCTAAATGAGCTATAAATCAAAGCTCTGCCTGAGTTCATTTACATGCTCCCAAATTTACCATTATGGTCATGTCTGTATGCAGCTACTCCAGATCTCACTCTGGTCACACTGCAGAACCTAAGAGCTTACCGAATGCATACTGAAACCTCAGTGTTTAATGGCAGAATCAGCAATGGTCTCCCTGCCACAAAGAAATTGCATACCAAAAAATGTGCTCTCTACTTAAAACCTAAATGGCAAATTTGCTCTGGAATCACTCTTGACTAATTCAGATGGCAAATCCAAGAGAAGTGGATGATGGAGTTTGTACTACATCATCAAACATTAGGTGAGCTGTGAAGTAACAGTAAATAAATTAATTTTTGAGAGAGGAATCTGACTATTAGACTAAATAAACAAGGAACGAGATGAAGAACAGAACTTGTGATGCAGGTGGCTTTCTGGAAGCAATGGGATAAATATACTGGAGGGGGATATTAAGGAACGGGTGTTTGGGAGTTTGAAAGATGTAAAATACCTCATGAAAAAAAATCAGTTGGAAGAAAAGTCCTGGATAGATGGATCTATCTATTCATGGAGATAAACAGGATTTATTTTGGTGGAGTATTTCACTGTTGAAGGTTCCATTCAATACCACTCTGGATATTGTAGAGGACTGTGCTATTGTGTGGCTATGGAAGTAGTTACAAACTCACATTTGGATCTGGGATGAGACTTCTGGTTTCACCAGGTACATTTATTCTGATTTTTTTGCCTAATTTGTGAGATTGTTGTGGATAAACACCAAGATCTTGGAAATGGCAGCTGTCAAAGGCAGAGTAGCCTGAGATCTCTCTTTAACCAGAGGAATTTATTCCACAGCAGCTGTCCAAGCAGTCTGCCTTGAGGCAGCTGCAGGCAGGCATGTGCTTTCAGTGCTCTTCCATCAATTGCATTCCTGTGGTAAGCTAAGGCAAAGCCTGGTTTTGCTAGTCAAGTAGGTCATGTGGATTTGTTCTCTCTTAAGGGTTAATCCATGCCACTTCTGTTGGCCTCAAGCGAAGGTATGGATTATATAAATCAGATGAAAATGCATTGAAATACAAGAATGGCTATAATATTTATACTGCTGGACATGAGCTGGCAATGTGCGCTCACAGTCCAGAAAGCCAGTCGTATCCTGGAGTGCATCAAAAGCCAGCAGGGTGAGAGAGGGGATTCTGCCCCTCTGCTCCACTCTTGTGAGAACCCACCTGGAGTACTGCATCCAGCTCTGAGGTCCAGCACAAGAAGGATGTGGACTTGTTGGAGCAGGTCCGGAGGAGGGCCACAGAAATGATCAGAAGGATCAAACACATCTCCTATTAGGAAAGGCTGAGAGTTGGCATTGTTTAGCCTGGATAAGGGAGACCTTATTGCAGCCTTTCTATACTTAAAGGGGGCTTATAAGAAAGATGGAGACAAACTTTTTAGTAGGGCCTGTAGCGATAGGACAAGGGGTAATGGTTTTAAACTAAAAGAGGGTAGATTCAGACTAGAAATAAGGAAAAAAATTTTTACTATGAAGGTGGTGAAACACTGGAACAGATTGCCCAGAGAGGTGGTAGATGCCCCATCCCTGGAGACATTCAAGGCCAGGTTGGACTGGGATCTGAGCAACCTGATTTAGTCGACTATGTCCCTCCTTATTGCAATGAGGTTGGACTAGATGTACCTTAAAAGTCTCTTCCAACCCAAACCATTCTATGATTCTATGACTTAGAAAGTGTCCATTTATGATGATTATCACCATTTTAGCTGGTCTTTGTAGCAGAATCCCACGAAGAAACAGTATACTTACAACATTTTTAATATTAGTGTTGGAATGGGAATTGGACTGCCTTTTAGCTGGCTTGTCTGATGTAGAGACACTGTATTATCCACAAATATTGCAAGTGGGTTCTGTTCACGACTGGGACTTAAATCCAGATTTGCCAAGCTGTTGCAGCTACAAGGCCATGCTTAATGCTTAGTCCTGCTACCACACGTCTCAGTAAGTGAGAGTGTATGAATCCTGAAGAGTTAGAAGGCTCAGACTGGCTTTGCAACTGCCTGTGAAGCTCTAAGATCTAGACAGGGTCACAATGTGCCACTCAAACCTGTAAGGAGATATCTGTAACGAAGGTTAAAGGGGTTCTTGCAAAGGTTTCCTGGGTTGTGTGAATTATGGGGGTGGAGAAGGATACAAGCTGACATTAGGAAAAGGAACCTTGCTGGTGATCAAGCCAGGTGAGTAAATGGTGAAAAATTCAGGAGAAAACTTGGACTGAAAGGCAGTGGCCCTAACTATATGGCAGAGTGAACAGGAATTTTAGGTGACATTACAGATGGAAAACCACAGATTGTTCCTAGTATTGCCCCAAAAGGCATAATACACAAACTGTAACCAATGAGTGAATGAACATTCTTTTATTTGATCTCCCTGTTTCTGATCCTGATAATTTTCTAGTAGATTTCTTTGATACTTTGATGGTGACATATGTCAATGTGTTTCATCCTTGCTCCCTTAAGTTATTCACTGTTCTGAAATGTCTGTTGACCTGGTTGTCAGTATGCACTGGGAAAACTTGTCTACATTTTTGTAGAGGTTGACACCAGTGTGCCAATCAGGGATATGTGAAACTCACATTTGGAACTGGGACCCAACTTCTTGTTACTCCAAGTAAGTTTGAGCTTTCAGTTCCATATTAGCACCAGGACTGGCAAATTATCTGTTCATTGGGTAGATGGACTAGGGATTTTCATGGAAGCAAGTTCCAATTTCTTTGCAGCTTCCCTGGACAAAAAAACAGTTGGAATAGAGATGCTATCTTGGAATCCAGGGAGTGCTTGGCTACGTTGTGGCAGTGACATACTGCAGGAAAGAACAGCTAGAGAAGATGGTAATGTTCACACAGGTTTAATAGTCACAGCACGGTGCAGTCACACATAGAGTGCTGCAAGCAATTCACACATGGCTGAATGCTACATAAAAAGTTTATCATTTTTATAGAGTTTCTGGCTATTAAAATTTTCAGACTTGATTTTTGCATCTTTAAAATAATAGATGGAGGTTACTCTGACTAATGGCTTAGAGACCGGATTTTCTAACTCTAATCCTAAGAGAACATGTCATGATTTTTTGAGTTTAAAAACCTAAAGTAAAGTCCCCTTCTATATTTGTAAAAACTGTTGCTACAGTGTGAACAGTCAGGAACCAGAAAAATTGTATTTGGAAGTGGAACTGAACTTGTTGTGATGCATGGTAACTCTCTTTCCTCTCCTCAGTGGTATTTTAAAATGATTTAGGAACATGAAAAGATATAATGAAATTTTAAATACCTTTGCGTGTCATCCTCTGGTAAACAACTTTACATATTTTAGATGAAGAGCCATTGGAATACGTAGCTGGTAGGCAGGAATTTATTGCAAAGGCTTCTCATTGAGTGGGAACCTGAAAGTTACAGTAAATTTGTGTTTGGAAGAGGGACTAGATTTAAAGTCAACCCAGGTGAGTAAGATGTGGAGAAGGACAGGCTATGAAGGCATGAAGGCGGCAGCAGTGTCCACTGGTTAATGGTTTAGGTTGGAAAGGACCTTGAAGATCATCAAGTTCCAACCTCCCTGCCATGGGCAGGGACACCTCCGACTAGACCAGGTTGCCCAAGGCCACGTCCAGCCTGGCCTTGAACACCTCCAGGGATGGGGCCTCTTCTCTGGACAACCTGTTCCAGTGCCTTACAACCCTCAAAGTGAAAAACTTCTTCCTAATGTTTAATCTAAACCTGCCCTCTTCCAGTTTATATCCATTCCTCCTTGTCCTATCACTACATGACCTAGTAAAAAGTCCTTCCCCAGCTCTCCTGTAGGCCCCATAAACTCTTGAAGAAGAGTGGAGGGAGGAGTGAGGGCCGAAAGAAAATGAACCCAAGATTATTTCTCAATAGGGTGCTTGTGAAGGTGGAGCAGAGAGACTTGGAATAGTGGAAATGAGACAGCACCAGCAATGTCTTAGGTTAATGATTTTGGCATATCATTAACATTAACTTCTGAGTTCTGTCAGACAATAATAGTGTTTTGCCTTAGACTGAGGGCAAAAGAAATCAGAGATACCTCCAGGTTCGTGTTTCAGTCTTAGTTTCACACTGCATTGTGAAGAAATTTCCAAGGTGACTTAGACTACAGTATTTGCAATGATTCAAACTGGGGTGTGTGGGATGATGGAGTTAGGAGAGTAATTTTTTGGAAATGGCACAAGGCTATGATCCCAAATAAGTTATCTAATTGAAAGTGCCCATTAAATAGACTGATCAGGAAAGGATATCATTTTGGTGTGAAATAGAGATCTACATCTGAGGCAATTCCACAGGTGTAACATCAAAAGTTCTTCTGACTTTTTGATATCAACATGAAAATGATCTTCCACCTGTTTTTAGAAAGGGATTTTAAGTTGATTCTTTTGCATAGTTTGGTTGTTTTTTTTTTTAACTCATTAAATGAATGTGATTTTTTTTTGGCTGGTCCAAAAGGAATAGTAAATCTCTAATTCAGAAAGTTTCTTTTTTTGTGAGCTAAAATTATTAGAATGGAGGGTTGGACTAGATGACTTTTAAAGGTCCTTTCCAATGCAAACCACTCTATGATTCTATGATTTTTTTTCTAGAAACTAAGTATAAAATTGAAAATTTATATTGGCATATAAAATTGAAAACTTGTTCTGGCAATTAAAACCCACTCTGATTTTGGAAGAAAAAGCACTCAAATTATTATGTGATAATGACAGAGGTTCTGAGGATGGTCATAAGTAGCCACTTCAAGTCTTTTGTTTCCAGACAACTGTTACATAGTTAAGAGGTTAAGCCATCTCATTCACCTGTAAGCTTTAAAGAGTGGATTGGATAAACAGAATTGCTCCTTCTGACCCCCAACAAGCTTTCCTTAGCGTTGCTGAAAGGAGCAGCAGAGGAGATCATAGTAAATTTCTCCCACAGTTTAGGTGATGCATGAATAAATCTATACATGAAAACAAATAGCATGTTGCATCCCAATATGAAATTTAAGAAAACTTCATCTCAACTTTTCCTTAATGTGAACACATGCTGTAAGCCCAGGATTTATCCTGTTTTGGTACTAGAGAACTATTTAGTCCATTGAACACTTGATTTCTCCTCACATACTGGGTATCTTCCTCTATTAGTTCAGTTTTAGTTTTGGTTCAGCTAGAAATCTTCCCTTGTAAAGGTTTGTGAGAAAGGTCTTGGATGGTTTTGGTAGTTTGACTTCCCCAAGTGTAATTACAGAGGCAATGACAAATCCATTTTTGGGACGGAGACCAGAATTATGCCTGAACCCTGTAAGTGAAGCAGCATATTCACATTTGCAATACAGAATCTTTGCACAGAGTCTTTGTACTTTGGATGACTTGACTGATGCTGGACTAGGACCTGGTTTCTTTTATCTGACTGCCCCCAGACATGAGCACTAGAAGTTTAAAGAAGGGCTCAGGCACTAAATGTGGACATGTAGTCTTGCTGTAGACATCCTAGCATCCATGTAAGGCTGGCAGATTTCACAAAGGATCTCTGGTAGACCTTTTGGAACCACCATTGGAGGACAGCCAGCAAGCATCACTAAAGTGCTTGTTAAGTCACTGGAGTTGCTCCTCTGGGGTCAAGATTAGCCTGTATGAGTGTGTGAGGAGGTATATATTTCATCTGAGTTGGGCAATAGCTCCAGGTTGACTCTAGCTGTGGAATACCTTGTCTCAGGCTGAGGAATGGTAAGAGGACCAAAGACCTCTGTCATACCAATTCCAGTCTGACCAGGGATTCAGATAATTTTGGAGGGAATGGAGAATGAGATAAATCTCTGTATAATATAATCTGTGTGTTAAACCAGTTCAGGTTTCTACTGCAGGTTGTTTGGAAAAAAAGGAATAGGTCTCAGTCTGATGTTGGAACAGGCTTCTACTGTTCTCTCCCTAAAAAAAATCCTCTGGAATTGGCTTTCTCTGTAGACTGGTGAGGAATAGTATTCCAACAGCTCCTGTTCTTCCACCTGGAAGATATCCTTCAGTAAAGATCAAATTAGGCAGGGTGAACAGCTCAGAGTATCATGATTTACTTATCAATCTGTCCTGCAAATATAGGTCATAAATATCAATACAGCATCTCCAACACGTCCACCAACTCGTTAAGACAGAAAAACAGGAAACATAGGTCACAGTGCTGCGGTTATAATAGCTGATATTTACTGAGACTGCTATCTGCAAACTTTCATAACAGTGGGGAAACACGCAAAGGAACTTATCGGAAAAAGACTCTAGTACCAGAACAAAGCCAGCAGCAACTCTGGCAAGAATGAGAAATGAGGGTTTTGCAAAACAAGTGCGGCTGAAACTGCTTGCAAAAAACAGACCTTATTTTTTTATCTGATCAAAATAAAAGCATTGCACAGACTAAAAGGGGGAAAAACATCCTAATTTGGAGAGGTGGATATATAGTTCTTCAGCTAGCACAGCACTCACTAGAATAGAGAAGCAGAACAGTTCGATCAATTCCTCCTCTTCTCTTTCATTCCTCTTTCATTGTACTCCGTGACAATGATGTACCCTGGTTCATCTGTATTTTATGCAGGGATCCACCATTAAGCTTTTTATGTGCTCCTGTCTCCCTCTCCCTAACAAATGATCACTGAAAACTATTTCCAAAACAATAACAGGGAGTATAGGAGGAGGGGAGTAGGGTTGGGAGAGTCAGAACATACATTAGACCATATTCCACATAGTTAGGAAAGAGATAGTCTCATCAGGTTTTTCAAAGGCAGGGCTAGAGAATGAATCATTAGGCTTTGTGGAATAGTTTTTTTCTGAGATCATACTAATAAAGAAGTATGGCTATTTCACTAAGGTGATGACAACTGGCAATTGAACAGATGAAAAGCATTTATCTCGGTGACAGAACTAGGGTCTGCACTTGCATAAGATTTTGAAATATTTTCTAAAAGCCAAGATTTAGTCCAAAATTCCCCTATGGGAAGAAATTAAAACTTCTTCATCAGGGAGCTTAGCTGTCTAATATTTCTACAGTATTTATCAGTGTGGTGTGTAAACAGGGATGAAGCAAATATGCTTATATTTGAAACAAGTATGCTTAGAGTACAAGTTAACAAAGCTAAATGTGCAAAAAAAGAGTTTAACCACAGGTAGTGTTTTGATATGGGTCAAAAATCCTAGTCTAACTGACTTGCTAGCTGAATTTGGAGCAAGAAACAGAAATAAACCCCAGGTATCTTATATCTACAGCCTTTAGTTCCCCAAACCCCTCTTCTGCAGGGCAAAATTAAGTAAAAAAAATCTTGCACTGCACTGTCAGGTGGTGGAACATAATGAAACATTTGTTTGTTTCATCTTACTTTCACTAAATGCAGCCATGTGTTCTTACTGTGCAGTGGCTTTCCTAGCTTTCTCCGATAGGAACACAAGTAGCTAGACTGGGGGTAAATGTGGACACCCTTAAGACTTGGCCATTTATCCACCATCCCTCTAGACAGGTGGAGGAAGTGGGATTTTGAGTGTCAGTGGTGGATATGAGTGCACTTTTGCAGGAAAGGTAGAATGTCCTTGAGCTGCTCAGTTCTCTCCAGACACATTACATCTCATAGCAGTGAAGCAAGAAGACAGCAAGCTCTCTGCCCGTTAAACGCATTCCTGAATGCATCCAGGCCAAGATCCGAAAGGAAGCCCAGGCTACAGAGTAGAGTTACATGAGCTGTTACAGAGTGGAATGACTAGGTTAGATAAGGACATCTAGGCTGGGGATGGCCATGAGCATCATTGCGATGCTCTAGGGATCCTGCTTGACCACTCTATGTCTCCTACATAATGTAAGTCAACATAAATCTCATGTGGCTCCTGCATCATCTGCTGTGGATGCCTTGGTTGTCTAAAGGTGTCCTAGCATAAGATCCCTATGATCATGCAACTTCCCACTGGAATAATGGAAAAACCTCCATACCTAAGTGTCTGTATGTTAAGACTGAAGGAACTATGACTGTGTACCCTCATCTAATGTCTCTTCTCTTTTCCATTTTCAGATATTACTCCATCTCCTTCAGCCTACAGGCTGATCTCTAAAGATGATGAGGATTTGGAAATGTGCCTTATCACAGATTACTCCCCTGAAAGGCTTACTCTTAACTCAGCTGATAAGCAGACAAATGCTATTGTGGAGGTGGCAACTTCTGAGAACAAACAAGAAGCGAGCTACCTGTCAACGTACTGGGCCAAGAAAGATGAAATGCAGTGTGGTGCAAATCATGAGGGCTTTGGAGAACTGGAGGGCGAGGATCCTGAAAGTGGTAATGGCATTTTTTGGATGTGTGTACAGGGCTACAGCTACTCTGGTCTCTGTGCTATAAGTATGAGCAGGACTTGTTCACATCTCCCAACCCTGCAAAAAATGCTGCATGGTGCTCCCACACTCCAGAGGAATATTGCCTTGTTGCCTCTGTTTTCTTTTGTCTTTTTCCTCGGTGGAAACAAGATTAAGGGTCAGTAGACTGGTACAGTCCCAGCAGAGAGATCTTACAATCATGCTGTTGGGGATATAAAGCTTGAAATTCCTTTGTCTGATGGGACACTAAAGTTTAATTAGATCATGTTTTATGTTTGCCCTGAAAATAGCAGAAATGAGTGTTTATGGGAGGATTTAGTGGCCAGAAACTCTAATCCAGCCCTTCCAAGTAGAGATATCTTTATGAACTTCTGAAGAAGTACATTTCTACTATTAATAAAATGTATTGTTACTATCTCAGGTGCCAGCGCTGTCTGTGTTACAGGGGTGTCTCAGCACTTCAGGACAGGTACGTGCACAATATTTTAGGAGTTAAGCTTGGCCTGATTAAAGGAAATGTCTTCCCAAGTTTTTGCTAATGTTCCCTGTTTGCAGAATTCCTGTTGGAGCAAAAAGCTCTGACTGGAAATTTCCAAAAGGGCCACACAGGCTTTAAGCATCAACGCTGGAAGCCATTGGGTTAATGTAGTCCTCCAGATCTGAGCTGGTAATTTGGTGTGACCAGTGGTGCCAGTGCCTACGTGTTCTTGCTAGGACTAGCCAAACAAGTGCTCCCATCACATAATGATTTACGGTACTGATATGAGTCAACCTTCCTGGATGTCTGTCTGCATTTCAGACTTCAAAAGAGTTTTTATTTTTGGGTCCACAAACACCAAATGAACCAAAAGATAAGCAGGTGGTTTCAGCAGTGAGTTCTCAAGCAGCAGGGTTGCATCTGAGCAAGCTTTGCTTCAGCTCCTGGCTGTGGGAGTACACTACCCAACACTGGAGCCCAAGCAGTTGCTGTTCCTGCTGGTTCAAAGGAGCTGAGCGTGCCTCTGCACTTGGCTTATTTGCAGAAAAGCTGTACTTTTGCAAACATGCAGCCTTGATGAAAAGAAACCAGTTTGTCAAAATGTTTCCAAAACACCACTTCTGAAAAATACTCATCAGTAAACTTGGCTGATTTGATCAGTCATTTCAGAGAGAGGTTTTCAAAGATAAACGTAAAGTGACTTTTTGATGACAGCTCCCTGCTTCCCCAATATAGATCAATGTCTTTTCAAATGCAGATGGCTTTTAGCTTAAGTTTAATAGAAAATCCAAATAAACTTTGTGTTCTTTGAATAAAATTTAACTTGTTTTCCCCCTGGCCATCTTAAAAAATTTTAGGGAGAGGCAGGCGGGATGCCTCCAGCATCCTGGGTCCATAATACACTGTATTTAAAAAACAGCTAGATGGTTGGCAGACTTGCATATTGGATAATTAAGAGATTATTGAATGAAAACCCCACCCTTGAAACAGCAACTGGAAGAAATTAAAGTCTCTCAGTGAGACAGTCCTGCTCACTGTCTTGTTAGCTGTCCTACTAGCTGACTCAATCGCATGAAGTGGAACAGCTTCATTAAGAAGCATTTTTAAGTCTGTCTGGAAGTGAGGATGTCTCAGTACTCTTGTGACATTCATCCTCTGTTACTTTTACAGATGGAAACCTGAACATGCTGTCTTTATCACAGCTGGGCCTGAAAATAATTTTAATGAAAGGAATAATTTTTAATGTGCTGATAACGATGCTTATGTGGAAAAAAAAGTGAGTATGCATGGGGTGGTAAGGCCTCTGACAGAAAACATCTGGATAAGTTCATTAGCTATGAACATTCCTTCTTTCTTTAATAACTGTTTATGCAGTCTAGCCATACACCTTTTGTCTACCAACAGTAAAATCCTTCCAATCCTTTGGCCAAATCATTGTTTTCGCCCACCCCTCAAGCCTGTTTACTTATCCACATGCAAATTTAACTTTTTTCTTCTTTCTAGACATCTCTCCCTTCTATTTCTACATCCATCCCTTCTCCTGTCTGCATCCATCCATCAGATTCATCCCCTGACCAGTCTCCAGCTGGGAAATTTGATGCTTACTGACTTCAAGACCTCAGACCTAATATATTAGTTTTGACCCCACGTCTCTTTCTCCTCTTTCTAGTGCCTAGACACTACAGGTCTACAATTACATAGCTGTGACTATATCCCAAATAATGATTTAACATACCTTTATTTTTGTTACAGGAATGAAAGCAACTAGATGGTGCAGTCCTGAATTACCAAAAAAGCCTGCTGAGGAATCGTTACTGGAGCATCGTGTGCTCTGGATATCATCCCAGCCATTATAGTCTAAATTGCTTTATTTGCATTGTTATAAAGCTACTAAAAAATAAGCTTAAAATTTGCAGCATCTTGCTCCCCGGATGCCTGATTCACTTCGCATGACAAAGCCTCTTTTTGCATGAAGCATAGTTCACTATAACTATAAATTGCCAAACATCACTATTACTTGCGTTAAAAAGACATAGAGTTACTGCTTGGGGCAGTGCTTTTTGTTGAAAGCTGCAAGCTAAATATCACTTGAATGTGAATTTTTCGTATTTTGGTAGCTTTCAGGTACGCATGTCTTAGAGTGCATCCCCACAGACACCATTTCTGTTGCAAATGAAAAACCGAAAAGCAAAGGGGGACTTATTTAGGGTGCTATGCACCATGTCCTGCTGTCTTTTGCTACATCAGAGCAAGGTATCTTCCCCCCCCCCCCCCCTTAAAGATATGCTGCTAGGTCTCCCAGAAATCCTGAATTCAGTAAAATTCTCACTTCATTATCACATTTTCTGAATTTAAACCAGCTTAAGATTTGGCTTTGAGTTTAGTGGAAATACAAACTTCATTTGTTCTTTTTGTTTAGTTCTAACAGCCTTAGATTTCCCGATCTCTTTTTATAATCATTGCATAAAACTATACTTAAATATTTACCTGTCCATGCGTGCACTCCTTGGAACCAGTGCATGCATGTGAAATTTGCCCGCTGCTAAGTCTTGAATTGCACTGGCAACCACACAGATGTCTTGGCATTTCATTAGGCCTTTGGCTGCTATTAAACAATTCTTACCAAAAATAAGAAACTTGTTTGTCTTTTGTATCTATGGGAAGCCCGTTTCCAAGACAACTTGGCTGTGTCTGGGTGAGAACAGTGTGGCTGGCTCGGAAGGAGGCAAATGGAGGAGAGCACCTCTCCCCCAAGAGCAGACTCTGGCCTATGTGAAGACAACAGTAGGATATGGCTCGCCCACAGTGAGAGGACTAGTAAGCCATCCAGGCTCTTGATGGCAGTGTGCAACTACTGCTATGGGGAACACAGGAGCCTGAAGTGTCCTGCCTCTAAATGTCCCCCACTCCCAAGCGTCACTGGAGAACAAGGTACCTGCTTTCCATTAATGACACCAACCGACCGGCATGTGTCTCCAGGCTCAGCCTGTCACTGGCAAGACTGGAAAAGAAATTTTCTCCTTTTGTAACATCAATTTCTCCATCTTATTCTGAAGCACCAGATTACTCTGGAGGGAGAAATGAGAAGGGTGCAGTGAAAGAAACACACCCTCTCTGCAAAGTTTGAACCTTGCTTGTACCTCACACCAGTGCCCAAACGGTGTGGCAGGGAAAGCCTCGCCAGACCGGTGGGGGTGATTACCCCTCATGGGATATTTCTCAGTCCTGCTGGATTCACAGCCATTGCAAGGAACTCTGATTTTGGAAAGACTCATGCTTCAAATGCTTTTAGCCAAAAGCCCTGGTGCTTCATGTGGGAGAGGGTCCCCAAGTGAAGGCCATGCCAGCATCCCTGCCACGGGATGACTCCACAGTGTTGAACAGCAACACAACAAAGTCTCCTGGGTCTCCTGCCATGGTGCTGCCACCTGACCATTTAGTAGGTGGCCTGTCACAGGGTGACAGAGAGTTACTGACCCCTCCTGCCAATGAAAACCTTCAAACTTTCCAGGTCTATTGCCCTGATTATTTTATAGTATGGACATTCAGGGACTCATTCTCTTGTCTCTCCCTTGACACAGCAGTCACTCTCATTCCTCTCCAGCTGTAGGAAGCCCACAGCTCTTCAAGTGCTAGATTCCAGGCAGCTATTAAGCTGACATTTCACTCATGATGAGGTCTGCCACCTCACCGGGAAACAGCTTGATGAAGCTAAACCATATTTGAACTACAAAGCAAGTAATTGCATTTCATGGCTTTCTAACTGATTAACCCAATTCCAGAAATCTTCAGGGACTTGGAATAAAAGTTTCCATGCTTCTTTACCTTCAGCATCACTTTTTAAAATTAATATCCATCTTAAATTTTTTGTGTTGCACTTCAAACCCACCCCTAGCTGTATGGTCAAGGAGGGAGGACAGTGTGCTGCCTCTGTTTCCACATCTCAGCCTTTTCTCTTCCAGGTTAAATGACCCCAGTGATAAGATTTGCCAAGTGAGGGGATGAGTGTACAGATAAAGTTACATATTTTGACTAAAGCGACTCTTAGCATGTGACCTGCAAAACACTGAATTTGTAGGTCTAGTTCAAAGATACTTGCAGATATTACGCTTTCAATCTCCCACCACCACAATGTGCCCCCTCATCACCACTTTGCACTTTCTTGTTTATTTCGAGAAAGAAAAAACACAGTGCAAAGCACAGGCAGGAAATAACATGGTAGGACAGGATGTGGAAGGGGTCTCATGGCCCAGATGGGGCAGGAAGAGGATGCACCGCCAGTTCCATGACGCCACAATCGAGATCTGGGTCACCTTTTGATGCTCCTCTACACCCTACCACAGAAACCGCTTCCTCTGGAAAGTGGAGCACAAAACAGGGGGTGAGGGGAGCAGGGCTGGTGTGGCACAGGGCAGGGAGGTGGGGAAGCATGTGGAAAAGAACAGCAGACGTTAGACCACAAGCCAAAGTTGAATCAGGTTAAGGCAGCCTCCCTTCCTGCCCCCTCACCGCAGCCTGCTCTTGTGTCTGGGGGGAGTTGTTTGGGCTACAGCAGGAAAGATTGAGCTATGTATAGCATAGGCTGGGGAATGGAGGGGAGGAAATACATTATAGAGTGTGGTGGGTGGCTGAGAGAGATCTTACAAGCGTGTAAGATTTCTGAATTTGCTGATAGGCCTCTGCACCCTGTTATACAGGCAGTGAATCCACACAGAAAAATCCTTTCACTTCTGACCCGAAAAAGAAGGGAGGAAGATGGGGCAGGCCAGTGAGTCCTCTCACATTGGCAGGGGAAGAGATGTTGATCTCTAACACCCTCTCCCCTATGCCAGCTCCTGCCTCCAAATACCTACCTATGGGTAGGAGATGAATTTGAGTAGTTTCTAGGGATTTTCTTGGAGAAAACACCCTGACCAGCATTTGCCATCTCTCATTAAACATGGCCCTGTACACAAAACAGCCTCTCTTCTTGCCCTCTTCTACAGTGTGAACACGGACCCAAGCATGGTCTTTGTAAGTTGCAGAGCTTGGAGATACCTACAGGCTTGCTGAAGCTTATTCAAATGTGGGAGTAGCTCTAATAGGACCTGGATTCCAGTACTGAGTTTATGGCAACTAGAGGCATTGCAAGCCGGTAAAAGTCGGGAAAAAAGAAAGAAACCCAACAGTTTTTCTTTTTTCGCAGGTTCCCGTGCAGTTCTCAGAAGTGGCCACAGGAGGGTCCCAGCCTGGAGCGCTCTGTGAAGCCAAACCGCGGGGAGACCATGTCCCACAAGCCCACAGGGAGGCACTCGCAGCTCGCAAACGGCAGCAGCTGCAGTGGCAAAGGGGACACCCTGAGCTGTGCCTCGTCGTGTGAACGTGCCGGGGCTCTCTCTGCCACAGGCCTGGCTCAGAGAAGGTCCTCCTCGTGGGGAAGAAGATCTCGGTGGCTCATTTACACATGCTGTCGAGTCCCCTGCCTGCTCCTCAGCGGTACAAAGCTGGTGCCACTGTAGACAAAGCCAGCTTCATGCCTTGGACTGGAGTGTGGTGGTGGTGTCAGAGCTGGCATGAATTCTCTGTTCCTAGCACAGACCCAGACAGCACCCTCTGAGACAGTGAATACCCTGCTCCCTCATACCTCACTGTTCAGACCCTACATTAGGCAAGAGAGTTAGGAGCCCCAGGTGTCACACTTTTATGGGTTTAATGGCTGCAGCAAATGTTAAAAGGAAAAAGGTGGTAAACAGGAGCCATAATCCAACGCTGAAGGGTTGAAGCTATCAGACCCTGTGTTTTGTCTCCTTAGTGTCTCCTTCATCAATGATCTGGATGAAGGGACAGAGTGTACCATCAGCAAGTTTGCTGATGACACAAAAATGGGAGGAGTGACTGACACGCCAGAAGGCTGTGCTGCTTTACAGCGAGACCTGGACAGGCTGGAGAGTTGGGCAGAAAGAAACCTGATGAAATTCAACAAGGGTAAGTGTAGGGTACTGCATCTGGGGACGAATGACCCCATGCGTTGGTACAGGTTGGGGGCTGACCTCCTGGAGAGCAGCTCTGTGGAAAGGGACCTGGGAGTCCTGGTGGACAACAGGATGACCATGAGCCAGCAATGTGCCCTGGCGGCCAAGAAGGCAAATGGCATCCTGGGGTGCATCAAGAAGAGTGTGGCCAGCAGGTCGAGGGAGATCATCCTCCCCCTCTACTCTGCCCTGGTGAGGCCACACCTGGAGTACTGCATCCAGTTCTGGGCTCCCCAGTTCAAGAAAGACAGGGATCTGCTGGAGAGGGTCCAGCAAAGGGCTACAAAGATGATTAGGGGATTGGAACATCTCTCATATGAGGAAAGTCTGAGGGACTTGGGTCTCTTTAGTCTGGAGAAAAGAAGATTGAGGAGGGATCTTATTAACGCCTACAAATACTTGAAGGGAGGATGCCAGGGGGATGGGAGCAGTCTTTTTTCAGTGGTGCCCAGTGATAGGACGAGGGGTAATGGGCACAGGCTTGAACATAGGAAGTACCATCTTAACATGAGAAGGAACTTCTTTACCTTGAGGGTAGTGGAGCACTGGAACAGGCTGCCCAGAGAGGTTGTGGAGTCTCCCACTCTGGAGACATTCAAAACCCGCCTGGACGCTGTCCTGTGCAACCTGGTGTAGGTGACCCTGCTCTGGCGGGGCGGTTGGAC